ATATATATATATATATATATATATATATATATATATACTTTGCTGGTTTTTGTGTTTCTCCAGAGAACCCTATCCAACACAGCAATATACCAAAAGCAAGGGACCAGTACAATAACACTAAGGAAAAAGAAGACACAGAGAGGTGCACAGGAGGTACAGGCAACAAAGGTAAATATTTTATATACACAATACTTTATTATCAGCAACAACAAATAGTAATCTATGGGTGGATACATCGGTAGTCAGGCTAAATGATCAGGTATGGGTATGCAAAAGAGAATATACCATATACCATATATAAGTTTGGCAGATGATATTTCTAAATAAGTAAAATTGTATTTGCTGTAAGAATGTCCATATAATAGAACTAACAGGGGGGTAATGGCACCTAACAACCCAACAACAGGGGGCAAAGTTATGATAACTTCTGAGCCACAGCCAAACACCTTAAGGGAGTGAGTGGCTGGGCCCACTGGCTCGGGACCTGGTCGCAGAGGATATCAAGCTCACTTAACAAAACATATTATACAAAAATATTGTTCTACATCCTATTTTATTTGGGGGGTGTCATGACTGGGGTCTTAAAAGCTTGCAAACAGCCCTCTAAGATGAAGCAATTGGTCTCTCCTCGTCTGGAGCAAAGAATGAAGAAAGTCAAAGATGTATGGAATCAATCAGGTCATGGGGACCTCAGCCTATATGACCCTGAGACAAGAAGAACTAGATGGTGTCTGGCTACCACTTTCAGCCACTCTGAAAAGGATCATAATTGGAGATCCTAGATAATGTGGGAGAAAAATGTGGAACAAAACTTTAAAGCATAAAAAAGATGAGCCTTACTGGTCTGATAGAGACTGATGAACTGCCAAGATCAAGGCCCCTAGTCACCCTTCTGGACTGGAATTGAACTCACTTCTGTGGCTTCCAGTCAAAAATAGACAGGCCTGCAAAGTGAACATTTACACTAGGCAGTTACACTCCTCAGAACAATCTACCATGAGAGATCAGAAGGGCAGCATTTGCACAGTTAGCTCAGAGGCCAGGAATGCATAGGAAAGAAGGACACAGGGAAAAAGTAACCACAAGGAAGTGGGAAGAGAGCTGTTACATTGTAGGGATTGCAATCAATGTCATGAAACAAAATGTGTATGAACTCTTGAATGGAAAATTAATTTGCTCTATAAGTTTTCATGGAAAAGAAAAAAAAAAAAAACAAACCCAAAAAACCAAACTCATGGTCATTGAGTCGGATCTGACTCCTAGCCACCCCTCATTGGGTTTCGGAGGCTGTATCATTACGGAAGTAGATTGACCAATCTTCCTTCCAAGGAGTGGATGGTGGCTTTGAACCGCCAGCTTTCTGATTAGCAGTCAAATGCCTTAGGCACTATGGCACCAGAACTCCTTTCATGGACAGCACAATAAAAATAAATAAAAAGGTTTACATGATAAGGAACTGACATCTTTGGCCATCAGACAACAAGGACCTGAGGCCTGCCAACAAATGTAAGAGTGAGCTTGGAAACAGATCCTCCCCAAGGCAAGCCTTGAGGTGATGACTGTAGTTCTGGTGGATACCTTGATTGCTGCTGGTGAGAGACTCAGCTAAGCTGCTCATAGATTCCTGACCCACAGATATGGTGAGATAATAAATGTTTGTTGTTTTAAGCCACTCTGTTTTGGAGAAATCTGTTATCCAACGCAGAGAGAGCTAATACAGAAAAACAAGCAGGAGGGAAGCTTATGAAAGAGGAGGAAGTATGGCAAGAGAAGAGTTACCTGAGTAAGAGTCAGCTTGACCTCTCCTTCAAACACAGAGATCCACACAAACACACTTACACATACCCTGGGTGGCCTTCAGAGCCTCCTCAGAGAAGTCCTCTATCTTATAAGCAAACCCAGCTGTGGCACCCAGCTTCTGGGCCATTTGAATATTCTCCTTGGAGCTTGTAGTCACCAGGGGAATGGCTTTGAACAGTCTGGTCAGCTGAATGGCAGCCGTGCCCACACCTCCTGTGCCAGCATGGATGAGCACTGTCTCTCCCTCTTGTACACCTCCTACAGCAATGATCCAAGTTAGAAGACTCTGGGCAAGTGAAAGGGGAGGGGGTGGAAGGGGTAGGTTTGGCTTTGGAAACATAAACCATGTAGTGCTGGACTGTAGAGCACTGAGGGGGTGATGAGAGAAAAATCTGCAGGATTAGATAGGGTCTGGGTCACAGAGGGCACTGACTGTGAGGAGCCACTGAGGTTTTCGAAGCAGAAGCAGCCTTGATGAGGATTAATCTAGCAGATGGTCTGGAGTGAGTGGAGTGTCAGAACTGTCCTGAGGTGGGCTGCTGGGACAGAGATAATCCCTGGAACAGATGTCTGGTTGGCGCTGATCCCTTTTCACGTAACATGAATGGAACAAGAGTATCTGCTCTACTGGCTATAAGGGACCCAAGCAGAAGGAAAAGAGTTTTCTCCCCTCTGGAAATGGGTACAAGTAGCCAGAACTGCTCTGAGAACTTTGGTCATAAAATGACCTCACATTGGTCATAAAAACTTGGTCTGTAGTTGTCTCTACAGGTGACGGGTCTGAGTCAGCATTGGGATTAAAGGTTGAGGCTGCGATTAGAGGCTAGGGATATGTTGGGTGTCAGTGAGGGGCTCAGAGGTAAGGGTTGGATCAGTTGGAGACCTGGTTGGGTTCAGCATTTGGCTTCAGGTGGCAGGTCTGGAAGGAGAGGGTTAGGAGGGAGGTAGGGTTCATACTCACCCACACAGTGCAGCAGCTGGAAGGCCGTGAGCCAGGCCTCTGGGATGGCCGCAGCTTGGGTCAGGGTCAGTCCTACTGGGATGGGCATGAGAAACCCTTCAGGGACCGTGACATACTGAGCCTGGCCCCCGCCAGGTAGTAGAGCCATGGCTGAGTCTCCAGGTTTCCAGTGCCCGTGGCAGCCAGGTCCCAGCTCCGCCACATTTCCAGATGCCTCAAGTCCCAGAATGCTGCTGGCTCCTGGGGGTGGGGCATACTGGCCTTGTCTCTGAAGAGAGAGGTAAATGGGTTTGATGAGAGGGGCCATGTGTCAGCCCTCCCGGTTGTTGGAGGGAGAAGGTGACATTTGCATGGAGGCCAATTTTTGTTTTCTAGGATGAGAGAAAATTCAGATGGTCTTTCTGACAACAATCATTCCAGAAACATCTATTCCACAGGATCTTTTCAGAGATAGTCACTCAGAATAATCACTCTAAAGAGAACCCCTCCAGGAAGTCTCCCCAGTTACTGTCTCATTTAGGAGGTCAATGTCAGTGCTGTCAGGTGGTGTCAGGTGTCAGGGAACTGAGAGGAGTTAGGTGGAGTGGCAGTTTGCTGAGCTCTGAAGCCCTGGAAGGTAGACCTGGTAAGGGGACACTCCTGCCATCTTAGGTCTTGTTTTTCCTGTTTTGAACTTAGCCTCCCTAAGAAGGTGGGCTATTGTTGGGTCAGGAAAGGCTGGACACTGGATCTTGCAGGGGAAACACCCTGTAAACTGGCTCTCTGATCCCCTCTTGCCTGTGGAAGGGTGAGGTAGGAAGGACACTAGCCTAGCTCTGGGGTTCATGGGTCCATACCATATCTTGCAAGGGAATGAGCTCAGTCCCTACTTGGCAGTTACACAGTATTGCTGCTTGATAGGACCTAAGACCTGGATCACAATAGGGTTCAAACAAAGGATAGGACCAAGGCTGTGACTTGTGACCTCATAGTGGTTGAGTGCACTTGTTACAATGTGCAGATCAATCCCCTCCTTCCTGAGAGCAGCTGTCCAAACTTTGGAGCCAAACAGATCTATGTTCAAATTCTGCCTCTGTCACTTACTCACTCATGCAACAAACATTTATTGCATGCCTACTGTGTGTCAGGTTCATTCTAGGCAAAACAGATTGCCTCTGTCATGGTGGAGGTTACCATCTAGTTGGGGAAGACAGATTTGAAATAAGTAAACTAATAAATACAACAATACACACTGGAGCAAGTTTTGATGCTGTGAGAAAGGATGCTATGAGAAAGACTAATAGGAGGGTCTCTTTTAGACAGCATAGACAGCAACCCTCTCTAAGGAGGTGCAGTTTAAGCTGAGACATGAAAGATGAGAAAGAGCCAGGCATGCAAAGAATGACTGAAGAGCATTCCAGGGAGAGGGAAAGGCAAATGGAAAGGATGTAAGGGAGGAGAAAGTGTGAAGTGGGTGGAAGGTAGTGAGCAAGAGAGAGGGCTCCAACTGAGCTGGAGAGGTGTCAGCGGCCACATCAGCAGGGCCTCATCAGCTGGGTAGGCAATTTAGATTTTATCCCAAGTGCATTGTGATCTCTTTGTAGATCACCCTAGCTACTATGTGAAAAATGGTCTGGAGGGGGCGTGACAGGCACCAGGGTAAGAGATGATACTGGCTTGGACTTGGATAGTGTCAAGACCAGTGATGGAAAGAAGTAGACCAACTCAAGATGTATTTAAAAAGCAAAAAACAAAACTCACTGGCATTGAGTCAATTCCAACTCATGGCGACCCCCACTGGGTTCCTGAAGCAGTGAATCTTTACAGAAGTAGATTGCCCAGTCTTGCTTCTGTGGAGTGGCTGGTGGGTTTAAACCACCAACATTCTGGCTAGCAGTCAGATGCCAGAGCTCCTTCAAGATGTATTATTATATTATTGTTATTATGTGCCGTTGAGTTGGACCTGACTCATAGCGACCCCTCCTTGGGTTTCCTAGGCAGTATCACTCCGGAAATAGATTGCCCCATCTTTCTTCTGAGGAGTGGCTGGTGGCTTTGAACCGCCAGCCTTCTGGTTAGCAGTCAAGTGCCTTAGCCATTATGGAGGTAGGTAGAATCAAAGGATGCTCATGAAATGGATGCAGGGTTGGAGGAAGAAGGAAGTAGAATGTTAAAAATAAATTCCAGGTTTCTGATTTCAGCAGCTTACTGGCAATTATTCTCATGAAAGAATTATATCATCACTAAAATGGGACAAATATACCCATCTCCTTGGGTGGTTCTAAGAGCTGAATGAAAGAATTCACTTAGTACAGTGCCAAGCACAAAGTGGGCTAAGCTACATAACATAAACTAAAGTTGCTTTCCTGCTGGTGTATATGTAGACAGACTCCCCCAACACGGGCTTCAAGGGTGGGGCCACATAAGGAGGTTTCCGTGGCCAGCTCAGTGGGTTGTAAATGCTGGAATATCTCCAGAGTCTGATATAGACACTAAGAAGACAAACGTAACATCTAGCCCCTGTCACCTAGCCCCCACCAGCTACCTTCAGACCTGGCTTCAAGCAGGTCTGCCAAGGAGCAGGCTCTGAGCCCCTTACTCCCCTACTGTGGCAGGTACCTGGAGTAAGTCTGCTCTGTTCAAGGCGCTGGCTGCCACCTTGAGGAGGACTTCACCCTCTCCTGGGCTTGGCTTGTCCACCTCCTTTAGGTAAAGGTTTTCTGGTCCTCCTGGCTTGTCAAAGTGCACAGCTAACATTTTACCTGACGACACAAAGGTAGGACAAAGGAAAGCTGGGACAAGTTTGCAAGGAACCTCCTTCCCCATCAGGATCCATGCCTCTCCTAGACACCATCAGTCTCCGTCAGCCCATCACCTCACCCCCCACCCCTACACAGTTCTCATTGCTTGCCTGACGTCCCTATCTAAATTCCCAGCTATTGCTGCCTCCTGAGCATTTTCTTTCCATGGAGAGGGACTAAAGCAGCCAGCTTTGGAATTAAACAAATGAGAATTCAAATCCCAGGTTTTGCCGTTCACTACGGAGGGGTCGCTAGGAGTCGGGGCCGACTTGACGGCACATAACAACAACAACAACACTTGTAGGCAAAAGGAAACTAAAGCATTAATGTACCCTGTATCTCATTTCCTCAGGGATTTAGCCTGCCTCCTTCAGTGGGGGACAAGACAGGCCAAGGAGGGAGGGGAGCCATACCTGAAGCCATCCTGCCAGGGGTCTGTCAAGAACTGGGATGCCTGGGCCTCACCTCCTGCCTCAGGTATAGCATGCTGCTGCAGGCCCGGCTCAGGGAGGGACTATTTATGTTCTGGGCTGGATGGATTGGCCTGCCCATTGCCTGTGATGTGGGTGTACTCTGTTTTTTCATTTTTTTAAATTTTATTTATCAAAATGTTACAATAATGTTAATAATTTGGTTCTAGAGTTAAGCGATCCATCCTACATCTCCCAAACAAAGGCTTGTTTTCTCCCCTATAAAAGGAGCTGACAGCATTGTAGCCCTTGCACGCATTTAACTCTGAATGTTGCTTCTCTCCAGAACGGGCGTCAGAGCCACACCTTTCCTTTTACTCCAGCACTGAAGGGCAGACACTCATGTCTGGGGAGAAGACATGAGCATCCCATTTCCAGCTCTATGCCAGCCCTGTGGTGGGCAGAAAGGGGCCAATACAGCCTGTGGGAGAGGATGAAGAAGGTGAAGTGACAACGAGGCCAAGGGACCGCAAAGATGGCCCTAAAGAAGGCAGGTGTTTGATAGGAGACAGTTCCTCAGGCTGAGGGATGGGTCATAATATATGACATGTGTATTCTCACTTGAGTCTTAAAACACCCCCAAAGAGGCAAGCAAAGCAGGCATTATGAGCCCCATTTTCAGATGGGGAAACCAAGATTCAGAGATTCCGTGTTTAGGTAGTATATTAGCTGGTATAGGGTATAGCAGACCCTGGAACCAAGGATCCTGAGTTAGACTCCAGAGAGGCTGGCTCCTCACCATTCCCACCTGAAGGTTTCACTGAAAGAGGAAGAAAAAGGGCAATAAGTGGAGAAAAGGAAGGAGGCAGAGAAAACAGTGGGGCCTTACAGCAGGAGGGAAAGTGGGGAGCTTATGGGATTCCCCTTTGTCCTGCACAGATTTTCACAACCTCTGAGTGCACTGACCCCCAGAAGGTCAGCAAATAGGCCTGTTGGAAGCCCCACAAGACAAGTTCACTTTTTTTAAAAAATATATTTTATTGAAATATAATTTATGTACAGTGAAATAGACAGTTCACTTTTCTTAAAGTATTCCCTGCTCCAGTCCCCTTTCTGTCAAGATACAAATCTGAGGGTTGGGTGGTAACTTTCAAGGGATGGTTGCAGTGGCTGTATCCCACAGTTCCTCAAAGGTTCACTTTCTAGCAAGACAATGCCTTCTATGTTAGTGATAGGCTGGAGGCATGTGTCCCAGAAACCCAACAGACCTGAGCTGCTGCTGTTTATCCTGATGTTTAAATGGGAGTTGGGGGGCATAATCTTTCCCAGATGTAGAGTAGGCTCCAGCCTCTTCCAAGAGTTCTGTACGGTTCTGCTGAGTCACCTTGAGGCAGCAATTGTCCAGTTACCAAGCCTGAGCTCAGGTATTCCACCAGCTCAGTGGTGACTCATGGTTCTGGAACAGCACAGAGGTTGATACCTTTCCTTGAAGCAGCTGGGGCAGTTCACCTCTGGGTATTATGCCAGCTTCCGTGACTACAAGGACTTTCTCTGGGCTCCTCCTGTCTCTCTCCATGAGCATTCCACCCTGAGGCTGGTAGAGTAAGCCTAGCAGTGGGGGCTTAGGATGGCTCTGTGAGAGGGAAGGGTTTGGGGTCAGCCTGCTTGGCAGCCCTCTGTATACTCCTATCTTATGTGGGCTGCAGGTCTGGCTATCTGCCACTGCCATCCTCCTGGGTAACCATCCACTATGGCCCAGGGACCAAGGTGTCCTTTCTTACTCTAAGGCAGTGGACTTCACACTCTTCAATCTTACAGTACCAAAAGGCATTTTGAAAAATTATATATACCCTCTTACATTTATAAGTCGATATCTCAAGTTTTTCATCCTAATTTAAAAGGTTGGAAAGGATACGATTTCTGGTCATCTGTAGTGACATTTTTAACTTTTACATCAGGCTTTAAATGTATCAAGTAAATCAAGATTTCTGAGCATTTTGATATTTATAATCATCTGCTAAAAAATACCCAATCAAGCTCTTCTTTAACAGTTAGAAATTTTACAACTTTATTTTTCTTCTGGTACTCATATTTTCATCTCACTTTTCTTATAGAATTATCCTGATACATATTATGCTTTACTGATCATGCTGCTTGAGGCTTGGAGGCATAATCTCCCCTAGACGTCCAGTGGGCTCCAGTCCCGCCAAAGGGTTCTGCACAGTTATGCTGAGTCACCTTGAGGCAGCAACAAAAAACATGTATGTAACCTGAAATTAATTAAAAAATTATTTTCTGTGACTATAGGGCTCCAAGTGTTAAATTTCTTCTGGAGTTAGTTATCATTACAATATTATTACAATGATTATGTAATATCATTATAATATTTTAAATATTGGTAAATGATCAGTAAACATGTAAAGTAAAAGTTTATTGAAAAGTTATCTCCTAATGACCATTAGTGGGACTGAGTGTTACCACATACTTATTTATGTCAGTGGGTGAGTATTTCTTATTGTTAGATTGAGACTCAATTCAACATTAATTCTCTTCCTGTTTTCTCTTACCTGGTTTGCAAAAAGTAGATGGGAAAGAAAGCAATTTATTATTGAAATGTCAGCTAATTCTTTGAGTTACAGGATAAAAACCATATAATAATCTATCATCAAGATTATTTTCAATGATCTATTAGCTGACAAGTTAGTTAGGTTCTCCTTCAATTTTGTGGAAAGCAAAGATTTGGAAACTACTCAGCCTGCAAAGAATTTGTTACTCAGTTAGTAATTCAGGTTCTTAGTTCTGAAATTATATATCAAAAAAAGCTTTGCGAAGACTTATTAAAAAATCATTAATGATGTCAGCTACCTTCTCACTTAGAGGCACCTTGTTTAACCTGATATATTCAGAAAGAATTGGGAAAGTAAAAATGTTAATTAAATTCCAATACACTTTTGCTAAGACACTATTGTTTTGATAAAATCCTCATCACACTTAAATATATTTCCCTAACATCTAGAAGCTGCATATTTAACTCATTTATGAAAAACGTGTCACAGATTCTTAGAGGCAAAGCCAGTTCTCATTATTAAACTAATCAGCCAAATCAAATTACTTTCTGTCAGAATATGTTTCTCAGTCTTTGATTCAAATAATTATGACAATACTAGTCCTTGTGACAATCATCTTGTAAATTTTAAGATATATGAATAGATAAGGCATGGGGCCTTACTTTCTTAGATGAATTATAATTCAAAGATTTTCAGCATTTCTCAGTGATGTTCTTTTCACTCTGCTTTCATGGGACTCTCCTTCACAGTGATGTATTTTTTTGACACTAGAGGATGGAAGAGGTTTTCTTTACCTTTGACATCCTGCAGATCTTATACTCTAAGCTGAACTGGATGAGAGTATGCCTTTCTTTTGTGTACTGGGAGAAGGGAGGTTGAGAAGGGAAAGTGGGAAAATCAAACTAGTTGACTCTATTGCCACAGATCAGTTTTAGCAAAGTACTTATGGAAGTTGAGAATCTGGAAAAAAAGGGAATCCTTTCAACTCAGTTGTGTCCGTGTGCCCCTTCTACAGTCTTTGTTAACCACCAGGACACAATTTTCCTCAGTTTGAAGATCTCTGCTTCAGAGGATCCCTTGCTCCCTGTGCACCTCTCTAGACACTGTGTAGCTGTCATCAAAGGGTCACTTCTGTGGGTCCCTCTGAGTAGCTTAACCCAGTCAAGTGTTTGTAATAGGGATTATAGAAAGCAACTGGAGTGTTCTAGATAGGAGGGTTCAGACAGTGAGACATTTACTTTGAAGAAATGTAAGAAAAAATCTACTAGGCACCCAGCAGTGCAGTGGGCATGTGTTTATGAAGGGCTGGCTGGCCAGATAGTGAACTGCTTTGGGATGGCCTTTTGTACTTAGAAAATCGCCTTGGCCTTGGATCAGAATCTCTGCCTTGCAGGCTCAAAATTCTAGCTTGTCACATGTTGAGGGTGGGTATATAGTCAAAATAACTGAGTTATAAAATTCAGAATTTCATATGCTAATTTACTAGGAGAATTCATTGCATGAGAACTGCACTACCCAATTTGTAGGTTGATCTACATGGAAAGCCAGACAATAAGCCAGGATTCCAGACAAGATGGGAAGATTGAGATGAGTTGGAATGTTTAAAAGTGTTTAATAGTTAATCTAGCTAGGATAAAAAGATAGATCCACCTCCTTACTAGGTATAACCTTGCCTGTAAGACTAGAGTCCTTGAATGGTTTGCTTAGAGACCCTACCACCTTGAATGGGCCTGCTTGAACAATTTCTCTTAGAAAGAGAAGCACGAGGCTGGTCCCCGTGAGGCGGAGGTCAAAGATGTCCCAAATGTCCAAACTACCATGCCACTCCATCCTTTCAGACATTAACCCCTCTTCCTCCTCCCAGTAATTTCCCCAGTCTTGTTGTGTTGTTGTTGTTATGTGCCGTCGAGTCAAACCCGACTCATAGCGACCCCTCCTTGGGTTTCCGAGGCAGTATCACTACGGAAGTAGGATT